ATAAAGTTAACAAACAGTACATTTTCATCTGAGCAGGTCCTCCTCGTTTTAACGAGAGTGAGACAAAGCAGCTTTTTGCTTGTTTCCTGAAGTTACTCCAATAAATGGTCTTAGAAAATAGTGCTCCATAGTGCCAACCGGACGGTAAAAGTTTCAGCAATTTACATACACCATTGCACAATTTTGCAACTAGAAAATCAACATGCTTAAAGTCTTTGCAGCACTTCAGGATCAATGCACTACTTTTTCACAACTTAAGGCGAGCAAACTTTCCCTTATGGGCACAAGAGAAAGCCAACATGTTTTCTGAAGAGCAGCATTACCTAATATCCAGAACTAAACTTGTTCTTATTTTTATGTGTTGTTTAGCTTTTGGAAAGCTGAGGGCGATTTTCATTTAATGTCAAAGCAGCATCCCCTCTAAGGTTCCTTATTGAGATTTGTACTATGTGTGTCACGTAAGCAGCAACAGAGCAAAAGCATTAACAATAGTTTGATACTACTAATAAAAACACAATGATGAGTTCATGAGTAATATAAGACACGGTATTATAAACTGTAAACATGTTCAAGGAGACGGTGAGGTGACAGGGATCAGGTTTTCAAAGCAGCAAGTGGAATGCAGTGGAAACTCTGTAAGCCCAAAGGGACTAAGGGGAGAATACTGCAGTGTGCTACTCAAGCAGAATGTGCTGGACAGAGGTCATCACACTGTTTGCTTCTACTGTCACCAGAAAGATATACTGGATATAAAGCCCACCAAGAAATTGTGGACTTTATAAAAGGGTGTTATGATACTGACATATCCATAAGCATTTGCATAGCTGCTGCTATTGCAGCAGCTGATTGCACAACAAATATTTTGACCTTAAGTTTTTCTTTATTTGTATGAGAATACTATCCTTATGTTATTTATGCACACCCATATAGAGATGCCAAAGCACCATGTCAGTATGGCTCATTTTGACTTCTCACACGCATAAATTACTTAATCAAAGTGTGGTACTTCAGCAACCCTCCATAGTGTCTAAATGCAACAATTTGCAGGGAAGATCCCACTGCTGAAAACTCAGCTTTCCATCTCTTTGACTCTGCTTGCTTTTGTTTGTTACTGTAAGCCTTCATGCACAGTTTGTCACTGACAAACTTGTACATACACATGTGCACATGCCAGCAGACACAGTCGCTCAGCCAGCATCTCTTTGCCAGAGGCAGGGTAAATCCAGTGTGCACACATCATATATAGATATATTTTTTTTACATTCTGACAATGTGACCAGTGCAATCATTATTCAAAATACACTCCCAACTCCAGCCCAGAGAATAAGCAATCACTGACGCAATTTCCTACATCTTTGAACTGCTCCAGGGAAATAAACTTGTTTTGTATGTGTAGTTTGTGGTGCATCCGGTGTATTGATTGATATTCCCCCACTCTGAAAAAATCAGAAAGTTGATTGTTTTTTCAGGGCACATGGCTGAAAATTTTATGTTTTAATATGTGGAGGTGCATGTATAGCCTTATCTTTAAAGGCAAATTTGAACATAGATACAGAAGCAAATTAACTTACTTTCTCCCCCCGACAAACACACGCACACACACACACACACACACACACACACACACACACACACACACACACACACACACACTTGTAATCCTGGACCCCTCTGCTTTCCTGGAGTGAACTCCTGCTTCCCATGCCTGCTATGTCTGCTATGTGTGAGAGCATGTGTGCATGATTTTCCTGAGACAGATATGAAGTGAAAAGAGGTATCTGCAGAGGGGATGTGTGTATCTGTGTGGAATTGTGTGAGGTGAGAAAAGCAGTCTTCCTCATGGGTGGATGTCCACTAGCATCATATCACCATGAATAAAACAGTGCCCAAGTATTGGTCATGTTTTGTGCGCCTTTTGTTTACATGTATATAGACTGTATTTCTTGTGAATGTGTGAACTGGATGCGTTTTTGTATTCATATATGTTTGGACATATATAGCCTACAGCTGTATATTCGTAGTTTGTTAGTGCCTGAATGCTGTGATAAAAACTCACTATCCTATTTAGTTTTTACAACTGCTTAAAGGCTTGTTAAAATGTACAGTGATAAGCCAACCTCATGGGAACATCTCAATGTTTTTAGGTATCAAGGTGTGGTGGAGATACCAAAACCATTCAAATTGAGCAGCAGGACAAATAGTATTCAAGTTGTTTTAAATGCTGCATGTTGTAAATTTCAAATGGATCCCCTGGAATATTTCAGAAACCAGGGTTTAAATGCTCGGTTATCTCTCTTGCAGATAAGGGTCTAAAAAAGATCCACATCAGTAATATTTACTGATGAGAAAATATAATTTGTTGATATCAAAACAATCTGCAGGCCTTCTTGAAATGGTACAAAGGCAGCAGTTATTTAAATTACCACAAAGAAATATCAAACTTTAAAGCAGATGGGCTACAACATCAGAAGACCTTATCAGGTGCCAGTATTGTTTGCTAAATTTGGAAGCTAAGGCGATAATTAATAATTAGTCATGAGAACAGAACAATAAGAGATTTGGAATTTTTATTAAAAGGTTTAGAAGAGGTTTGATTTTAGCATTGAAATTTATATGGCTGAGTTTAAGTTTAGCATAAACAATATGAAATCATGTATCCATCCTGCCTTATAGTATAGTTTGATAGTGTGGGGGAGTCTTTCATTTGGACCTTTATTGCCAGGGTATTGCATATTTTGGTTCTGTTTAAGTTTCCTTTTGTGTTTTCATTGGTTTTATTACCATTTTGAGTTGTTTTCTGCTTGTATTTGAGTTCTTACAGTATGTATTTCTTGTTTACCCACCGTTACCCTCTTGCGTCAGTCACCTTGCCCTAGCTCCCTTCTAGATTCTTCTGTCCACACCTGCTTCCAATCAGTTGATTACCCCAATCTTTGTTGTTTGCCATATATATTCCTCCTGTTCAGTTAGTATTTGCTGGTTATTCATCCTTTCTTTGCTTCCTATGTCTGTTTTCCCTCGCATCTTCTAGTGTTTGGTTTTCTGTATTTTGTTTTTGGACTTGGCTTCTGTTTGCTTATGGATCAGCATTTAATCAGCAAAAACTCATCTCTGCCTCCTTCCAACTCTGCAGTTGGGTCCTCAAAAACCTGCACACAACCTGACATTTACTACCAGTCGTGCACCATTCAAAATGTTTAAGCCTAGTTCAGTGCTGTTGTCGGCACTGTCTGTCCCTGTATGACCACAGATGGTCACGTTGATCACGTTGGTCTGATTATAATTCACAGTGTTGTAAGGTTTGGTACATATAAAAACAGGTTCTTGGAACATAACAATGGCTCTAATAGCTTGATGAGTCACTGGATATCAAACCAGTGAAGCATTTTCAGAATGTGGTGGAACAGATTTATCCCACGGATGTACTACTAAGAAATCTGCAGTAAATTAATGACATAACAATGTCAATATATGCCTAAATCCCAAAGGAAAGTTTCCATAACTTTCTTGACAACATACACTCCATCTTGGTGTTAGAAAAGTGTGCCTTTTAAAGTGCAACATTAGTGGGGAGTACAATATTGTGTAAAAAGGCTGCTTTTTTTTGTTTTTGTATTTTTTATTAGACCGGGTAAAATCTAACATGTCCATATGGTCTAAAAAGGCTAAAAATGGACAGAGGTCTGTTCAATGATGTGGAAGCAGAAATCAAACAAACCCTCCCTCAGATCTCTCTTTGCTGATATTCAATTTATCTTTATATATCAGCTCTTATTGTGTTCTTCAGAACTGTATGTCTGTATGTTATAGATTAAGTATTAGCAGTGGCAGAGTTAACCTTGCTCAAGGCAATGGCTGTGATTCAATTGTTAACAGCACAGAGCACATTTATCCAATGAGTTGTTTTGTGGAATTAAACCTGTGACCTTTAAGCCAGAAAGCACATTCTCTGCTCTATTGCTGTTCCAACTCATGAAAACCATTTGCAGAGCGCTAACCGAATGCTGTGACAGTGCTGTTAACATGACAACAGACTGAGGCCAGAGACAGGATTCACAAAAGTTCAGCTGAGAGTCTAATGGCAAGTTTTGCACTGAAGTAACCACTCTAGTATATAGTGAGTGAAAAATTAAATAGTGAGGATAAACACAAACTGAGCCACTTTGACACTGTAAACACTGTAATTACTCACAGGTACATCATGACATGTTGCTTGCCAATGGTAGGGCCTTTCTAATCGTAGAACTCACCCACCCTGCCTTCAGCTCTCTATACACCAGCTTTTTTACCTTAAAGTGCTGGCATGTAGCAGCAGCACCATGGAAACAAAGTTAAGCTCTGCAAGCTTTACAAAGGTGTTCCTGTATTCTAACAACATCAGCAACTTGATAAGACCTCAGGCTTTGCTATATTTAACTCTAAAAACAAACTTAAATCTGAGACTGATAAACGAGAAAGACTAGGAGACAGACATTCCTAAATATTGAGTTTTCCAGGAAGGACAGGATATGGGGGCTGATCAAAGCAGACTGAATATTCTCTCTATATAGAAGATGAATGAAAAGTGATGTATGACTCTATCTACCACATTACCATCCATTTTGAAATAAAAGTCACCAGCTATCTTGAAAGTGATTACTTCACTCCAGTTCCTTGCAACGTTTTATGTAATTTCATACATAAAACAACACAGGAGTTTTGTACATCAGCTGTCAAAAAGCTTGCATGAAGTATTTTAACATGTCATTTAAGCTAAAACACTGAAAGCTTACATCAAGTAAGCTTAACACAACAAAAAACATTTTATCTGCCTATCATTTTAGAGAAATCTGTAATGTTAGACTACCAACAAGCTAATGTTGTGATTTTGTCAGGATAACTTTAAGCAGATTCCAAATTTCCCTCGACACTAAGTATAAGTTTTGTTTGTAAGGAATGAAAATTCATCTTAAACTGCTTACATACACAAAAAGTATTCAGCAGGTGTGATTGAAGCTTACCTGTGGTCGTGGGTGTCCTTTAACAATACACTGCAACACTAGTGTGTCTCCTTCTTTGATGGTGTAAATTCTCTCGCTTATGTTATCGTCCTTGACGTTACATGCTGCACCGGAGTGCACAATCTGTGCATTAGCTGGAGCTGTGGACACATGCACAAACATACACACAGAAATGTAAGCACACAGGCAAACAGAGATAGAGAACATTATATTTTTAGTAAGAACAAAGCCAGCAGCCAAAAGGTCACTCTTTTGTACACAAATGATGCTGTAGCTTGTATTGATGAGTCAGTTGAATAAATATATCACATTACACCTGCGTCTGCATGAATAGAAGCCTTTCCAGAAATCCAAGAGTTTTATCTGTATCAATTTCCGACAAGGGGCACTGATATTTCTTGGAAAACTGAAACCTAACTGGACCTATGTCATGTTACAGTAAATGAATGTCAAACGCTCTGATAAGTGCCTAAAAAGGAAAAAGACAAACCCTGAAAATCCTTTAGGTGTTTGATGTATTTTTAACCAATTAGTCAGTTAGATTTTAAAAGAAGTATTAAATGTATTTCCCCCCTTTCTACATTGAAAGAAAAATTACCCTTACTGTATCAAAAACCATTACTATGCTACATAAGTTATTAGGTGTGCCTTCCGGTCTATCTCCCTCAATTTCCTGTCGTTTCCGCTACCTTTCAGGCATGTTAATTCGAGAAAGTTAGAGGTCCAAACATTGAACTTCAAGGCCAAATGCTGAGTTAATTTTACACAAGCAGTAAAATACGGTCAAATATAATTAGTATGATAACAGGCTTGGAATTTAGAAATAAGACAAATTTTCTGACTGAGAGCAGTCAGTATTGGATATTTATTTAGCCAATTTTTATTTTATTTTTTCAGAAAACCAGCACTGCAAAAATAAATGAAGATCTGTCATTAAAATAGTTATGTGTTTTGCTAATACACAAATATATTATTCTTTTTTTTTCATGTGGGATATTCAGAAGCATTAAAACATGGACTGATATACTGTAAGTTTTATGTTAATGTTTAGTAGAAATACAACAGTCTCATTATATAAGGGTATCAGATCAAACATGAGATGACTTGAAATCTCCAGGAAGAGGACGTTATAAAACACAGGAAGAGTATGACAGTAAACTTTATGTTGTTATAAAACTAACATTTAAAATTTCATATATAGATATGAAATTATAGATTTGTACAGAGGAAAGGTCGAGCAAAGCAATTTTCTCATTTAGTTAGAATCCGATTGAAATGTATGTAAATGGATTTAAGCCTTTATATGGCTTAATTTAAATTACTGTTTGGTTTTTTTTGCTATTTAATTTGCATAAATTAACTAGATTACATTTAGTTCAATTCAATGTAATTCATAAACATTTTATTAATCCCAAATAGAAAACAAATGTGGTATTACTCAAAGAGATTTCTTAAACAAGCTGCTGCAGACAGGAAGGATTTCCTGTAGTGGTCTGCTTTACAGCAGGTCAGGAGAGGCCTCTAAATGAAGACACTCTTTTTTACAAAAGTCTAATGAGGGCAATGCTTAGAAATTGTCCATAATGTTCTTCTATATATTGTGAGGCATTTCTTTTTTTAAACTTCCCTCCAGACATTCCAGAGAAGTTCTGAGAGCAGAACCATCCTTCTTAATGAGGTTGCTGAGCTTATCTATGTCAATTCCTCTAACACTGATGAGGACAGAAGACATCACACTCTGCATAACAGTTTTATAAAATATATGCAGCATTAAGTTGCTAATACTGGAGGACCTAAGCTTTCTCAAGCAATACTGTCTGCTACATATGTGAAAATGAGGGTATTTATACTCCACCATCTCCTTTTCTTTAATGATGGTAACAGAGTTTGACCCATTCCAGTTTTCCTTTAAATCTACAATAATCTCCCGTGTTTTCCATTCTATGTCACAAAGTGGTCCACCAGCTTCCAGTACTCAGTTTTTTGTCCATCTCTGATGAAACCAAAAACTAAACTTGATGGATGGATGGATGGATGGATGGATGGATGGATGGATGGATGGATGGATGGATGGATGGATGGATGGATGGATGGATGGATNGGATGGATGGATGGATGGATGGATGGATGGATGGATGGATGGATGGATGGATGGATGGATGGATGGATGGATGGATGGATGGATGGAGATCTTCAGGGTCACACTATAGCTCAGAAAAAGGAATCAATCTGTCAGCTACTGTATAAGAAGTTTTTATCAACGTAAAAGATGCTTATAGGATGCTGAGATTTGCAGCTGAAAAATAAATTAGGGTTTCCTGTGGAGTGGTCAACTGTAACAAGGTCATTTTTAACTGTTACGTATGCAAGGATCAGAGCTAACCACTCTAGAAAAGCGTGTTATCTCACTTGTCCTATTGATCCAAAGTAAATTAGGTTTTCACATAAAGTCTGCTTTACAACATGTTAAAAACAGTCATCAGTCACAGCTGGTGAGCAAATAATGGATGAAAGATGCGCGATGGGAGCTCTCTACTTTGGTGTCAACTCCAGAATCAGCATCATCATGGTGCTGACCCTTCTGGAGAGTTGGCTTACATGCAAGCAGCCTCAGATGGCTTATGATGAAGGGAGACAGAAGGGAGGAGGGGAGCGACAGAGATGGAGCAGGAGAAGCAGCGGGCGAGGACAAGGAGGCCAGAGAGGAGTGTGAAGCCCCAGAGAGAAGAATGAGGGACGGGGCAGCATGATGATGTGATTAGCATCGATTCACAGCAAGAACAAATCTTCACCACACTCTACAACTGTTATTATTGAGTGGACAGAAAGAAAGTAGGCGGCTTGTTTACATTAAACTTTAGCTCGACTGCACACATAGCAGCGTCTGAAGACAAATAAGATTCAGAAGGAAAAAAAAGAAATGTCTGGGACACTAAACTCTTGCGTAATAGGCTCCCGTGCTAGAGTAAACCATCCATAGCAACTTCTTTTAGCACATTTCTATAATGTCTTGCCATGTTCTACAAATTAAAATTTAACCTGCTGGGCTCTAAGCAGGTTGTATTCCACAACTCAGAACACGTGGCTTATGCCAACCTTTTGTTTTAATTGGAAAACAAATGATTTTATAATGGCAGTGATATATGTATTATATCTCTCTGTAGGGCTTTGAACAATGACTGCTCTCAAAAATATTATCTTTATAGTCTGGCTTAATTGTCTTGTTCTGATTATCACCATTTATGATTTATAGTTTATCAAAGTGGCTAAATTCTGTTTTATATAGTTTTGTGGATGATTTAAGATTCCAGGTTAAACAATAAATCTAGAACCAACAAAGTGAACCTTTGCAGTCTGCTCACACAAGCCTCATGTCCTGTTCTTTGATATTTCATATATGCACATCATATTCAAGTAAAAACTCTTACTTGAGCTTATGTCAAGTCACTCAGTAGAGTATTTGGTAGCTCAAGATAATCCATAGTGGAAACACTAATGTTTAACATAAAAAAGCTAAATCGTTTGAAAGAAACCAGGGTAAAAATTGAAGGAACCCTTTCTTGTTTTCTTGTCTGTGCTTTTGAGGAGTTGGAGTTTTTTTTTATAGAAACAGCTTGTAGTTTTTGAAGTAAGGATTTTTGGCCTTAGTATAAGAGTGTATTGACCTCTAGAAGACTGTAGTTGGGAGATTTAGACATTACTTCTGACAGGACTTTTATGCTAACATAGAGTGAGACTACTTCCAAAGTTTCACAAAGAAAAATATGTGTGATTTAAACTGATAAAGTCAAATAATGCACACAAATACATTTTTTTTAATCATGCTGAAATATGTTTATGATGCTGGATGACATAGAGACCACTTTTCCCTTATCCTGGTTCGTTCTATCTATTTTCTCTTATTCTGCATTATTTGATAAGTTATTTATGTTATCTATGAGAGAGAGACAACCGTTCACACTGAGCCCGGTTGTGCTGGGCGTTCCTTTCTTTTAAAAGGGAGTTTTTTCTGTCCACTGTAGTTACGTCCATGCTTGGGGCGGAGGGATTGTTAAAGAGTCAGTGACAAAGGCCATGTTCACACTGCAGGCCTTGATGCTCAATTGTGTTTTTTTAATGAAATCCTATTTTTTTGCGTTGCCGTTCACATTTCCAAATATATGCATATATGCAATATATGCATTCATACAGCTTAAGTGTCCCGCATGCGCAGTAGAGGAAGCAATGACGTCACAGGCCAGCGTACTTTGTGTTTATGGAAGTAAACATGGATGTAGTGCTTAAACCTTAAAACCTCAATCTTTTCAAGATGGTTAAAAAAAATATTGCTCTCTGCATCATCGTCCACCATGGTTGTTGTTTTCTTTCCACTTCTGTGTAGCAGGAAGCAGAATAGTGACCTATGTCGGATACTAATGGCGTTCAGGTCGGATGAATGCGACCTGATCATTCACACACAGGTCGCATTTGAAAAGATCAGATTCGTATCGGATATAGGCCCACATAGCCAAGTGGCCTGGATCACATTGGGAAAAAATCGGATCTGTGTTTAGACTGCCATGAAAAGATCTGATCCAGGTAGCATATGGGCAAAAAATCAGATTTGGGTCACTTCAGGCTGCAGTGTGAACGTAGCCAAAATATACGCTAAAATCATCACGGATAGGTCATCCTATAGCATGTCTTGCAGGTCAATAACTGGATGCTCTCAGCTGATTTTCCTTGACACAAACTTTAAAGTCTGACTGTATTGTCTCTGTAAAATGCCTTGACATGACATGCGTTATGATGTTGGAACCGTATAAATAAACTAGATTGAATTGAAAATATTTTCAATTTTCTCCTAAAGGTCCATTGTAAAAGTTGTCTCAGAAACAAATTAAAAGGACATCAAACAATATTCCCCTTAGCATACAGTACAAATGAAGCAAGCTCTTCAGAAGAAGTCTCTGTCCTTGTTACATTTTCTTGAAATGTTCACAAAAAATTACAACCTATAAAATATTTTTCAAGGCCTGCTGCTTCACAATGTAATTTTGAGAACTATATATGTTTACATGTGATTAAGGCATATTATATTGGAAATCTTATTAAAAGAAAATTCAGTTCATTACTCATTCTGTCTTTTCATTATCCATCC